GTATCATTATCAACGTGTGCAATACATTTTATTGAGGGATTTTCAACCACGGATCAATTTTTGTGAAGGTACTGTCACTATCAATTTTTTACATTTAAGATACATTCAGCGTATAGTAATGGCATTTTGAATAATTTGAAATTGAGAGTGGAATAGGCTATGGGGGAAACCACTATAAAAAAAGCGCACCATGCTACCGCAAGGTGGTGTGGAAATGATAGCGCATCATTTTCTCGCCACTAAAAGGATGCGTCATTTTTCGGCGTGGTATTGCGATATATCGCAAACCACCATCATGTCTCGGAAAGCGACTCGCCCACCGCTTTGCCGCGCTTGTAGGATCAGATTACAGTGGGACGACTCTCGTCGCCGCGCGCTTTTACTCACGCAGATTGGCCGATCTTCTTTATTTAATTTTTCGTTAATTATTGCGACAATCACAAAACAATACAGATTATTCCTTCTTAATTTGAGCCAATCTACTTCCTTATTTCGTCAAGGTCAAAAATTGACGGACACCCTGTATATATATATAATTTATATTAATATAAACATTTATTAAAAACACTTAATATTAACTAATTAATAAGTAATTAATTAATAAACAATTAAAAATTTTAAAAATAGAAATGAAAAATAAAAAAAAATGAGAGAGATAATTAAAAATTACTCATTTAAACTGTGTATAATAGGAAATGATGCAAAACAGTTGTTGATAGGAAAAACAATAGATAATTTTGCACATATGGTTGATATTAGCTATGCTCTCAGATTTTCTGACACATTTTTAACAACGTTTATATGACGCTCTAATGAATCATATGAATAATCATAGAAACATGAATTTTTGTTAAATTGTTTTCCTATTATAAAAATATAATATTATCTTCAGTTTTTTTTATAATAATGTTTTGTATTTCAACAATTATAATACTTTCGTCATTTACGAGACAGTAACAGTCTGCATTGCTATACTGCTTTATTGTTAAAATACAATTATTTATTTAAATAAAGTTTCTTATATTGTTTTACCCATTTATTAATGTTATTAATTAAAGAACCAGAATCATGTTCTATTTTATAATCGCAACAAAAATTTAAATTTATATGATTTTTATTTAATGAAAGATTAATTTCTGTAATTTTACGATATATTTGTTGTAACACATTGGTTGGAGACTTAACCAATTGTTTCAGTTGTCGTAAAAAAATTTTGAATGGAAATGCTGAATACTCATCTAAAGTAAAGCTTCAACATTATCACAAATATGATTTAATAAATGAACATTATGAACTATAAATTCTAAGCTATACAAACAATTTTTTAATCAGTAATTATTACAAATATTTAAAATCTTTCTCACAGTCGGAAAGGTTTTTAATATGAACATTTTTAATATGTTTATTCGACAACACAGAAACTGCAATATGTAATAGAAGAAAATTTTTATAAACGGCTCTATTTAATATATCTTTCAAAACTACTGGACCTAAATAAATTGAAAACAATCTAAATTTTGTTGTTTTCCAATTCTGAAGTTCTTCAAATGAACTCGGTTTACGATTGAACTCTATTGGAATAATTTTTTTTAAGCTAAGAAAACACTTTGAAATTATATTTATTTTCTATGTGATAAACATACTTGTAATGAACCTTGAAACCAAGTAAACAATAATTTTCTAACAATACCTAAGCAAATATTGTGCATGCAATTCGTTGGAAAACATTTTATCATATCTATTGATAACTGTAAGAGGAATGTTTGATCTGTATGATGATCATCATTGATATGTCTTCTAAATGATTCATCTGTACGTTTTAAAGCTCTTAAATTAGGCAAAACAACTTTGTTTTTATAATATTCACTTGGCTCTATACATTTGTCACAGAATGAATAACCTGTATGTTGCTTGATACATTTTAAAAAAGCCTTAGCAGGCGCATCGCATACAAAATTATAAATTTTAATAAAAAAATGGTCTTTTTCAGAATGATATCCATATGTTAGCGGTTGATTAAGTTCAACTAAATAAAAAGTTCAAATAAAATCATTTAGAAAACGATCGAGTGGTTTTGGTTTAGCAGTTCCACAAAAAACAGAAATAACAAATGGTGGCACACTTGCAAAATTTTTTATAACACCCAATATTAGCCACAATTGTAATTTTGAACTCTTAAATAGACGGATTCCGTCGATATTAAATCCAATTTTCAATTTTTCATTGTCTTTTAAAGCATGTTTCATTTTATATGTTAAGCAATGTACTAGAGCATACTCCAAACCAAAATAAAATTCACCTGTATCTAATTTTATTATATTCGGATTAGAAATTGGAGTTTCTCTTTCTGTTTCGTACAAATAGTGTACGACTATTGATCGGTAAGAAAGTTGATGATATAGAACAAGTATGTGAAGTAAATCAGTTAAAGATGATCATGATACATTATGCTTCAGAGTCCATTGTCTTAATTTTTGCAAAATATTCTCATTTTCGTTTTCTACTTCTAATAAAGAATTTAAATTTTCGCTACTTATATGTAAAAAATTATATTCATTATTTAAACAAATATTTTCTAAATCTAAATTATCAAAATAAGTCTTATTTATATTTTCAGGAACAAATTGATTATCTTGACTATTAGATATTTTCGTTAAATCATTATATAAATTAAAAGATTCTTCTTGAGAAGTGGGAATATTAGAATCATTACAAATAGTATTGAAATATGCATTATGTAGAGCTTCTGCAACTCTTCTATATTGTTGTCGTCGCAAAACAAAATTTTCGCTTTTGTCTAATTTTAGACAATTTTTATAATAATAAATAAAAGTAAAATTATATAAAAACAAAAATATATAATAAAATTAATAATAACTATCAGAAACACATACAAGTAACTTAATATAAAATTTTTAACTATTCTAATCTTACTAGTAATATTGTAAGAAGTCTTGCTTATGTGTGTGAATGTTTTCTTTTGTTTTCTTCCTTTAATCGTTGCTGAGCATGTTTAAACCAAATTTTTATTGCATTTTCGATATCATTATTGCTAAAGAAAGATGATTGTATCTGTATTGCACCTAAAATAAAAAAAAATTCTTGTTGTACATATTACCCACTTTATCACATATATTATTTATTATATTAAATATTATCTATACATATTAATTAGATACATATATAAACTATATACTCACAAATTATCACTATTTTTACTGCTAGAATTCCAAAAGGTTTTTTATTATGTCTTTGAGCAGCAAAATTATAATCTGCAGCTAATTCCAAGACTACCAGGCATGGTACTTTTTATTACAGATTCGAATTGTACATGAAAAAATAAGAAACTTTTGTATCAAACGTTTTTCTTCAAAGTGTCTCTGTCAATCTTACAGTTTCAATCTTACAGTTACTTTCAAGGTCAATTTTAAGATTGACAGAGGCATTTTCAGAAAAAAACGTTTAATACAAAAGTTATTTATTTTTTCACATACAATTCGAATCTGCAATAAAAAGTATCATGTTGCCCTAAAAAAATTCAACTTCCGATCCGGATGACGTATTTCCGGTCGAAATAAAAAATTGAAAATATCACCATTTGATAGATCGTACCCGATTTACTTAAAAATTGTTTGCGATTTTTAATAAAAACCATTTATTTTCATTTTAAAAAAGGTATATGGTGATCTGAGATACCCTGTATATTTCATTTTTATATCTCTATTTTTGTAATATAGCATTTATCTTTTTATGTAAAAATTTATGTAAAACTAATTTATTAATTATTATTTATTAATGTTATACATTTTTTATACAATATATAAAGTTTTAAAAAAAAGACTTAATAATGAAATATTATAGGGAAAGATTATGTGATAACAAACGTCACACATGTTACATCGCCAACTCGCCACTCTCACCAGTTCGAGATTTCGAGGATCACATAAGGCCGGTATTCATAGTCCGATCTTATATTCGAGATCGTCTTAAGTTCGAGCTTGAAATGTTACGCAGCTATTTGATTGGTTGAATGAAGTCTTAAGTCAACCTCCAAGCAGACTTAAGACGATCTTAAATATAAGATCGGACTAATATGAATACCGGCCATAGTTATTGTATTCAGAGAGATAGGTAAGATACAATAGACTTCTTAAGGTACCTTTTCACGCTCGACGCTAGATTTCAAGCGATCACGTGATTACATGTGACGCCAGCGTCAACAGAAAGAAGTTCGATTTATCCAACATCCAGCGTCAAATGGTCAAAGCCGGTAAAGTTTAATTTGTTTCAGTTAGTTACAATTAAACCAAGGTGAAAATGGATCGTGAAAATGTAAGTTCATTTAATTGATCAATAAAATTTTATGTAATTATTATTTATTTGTTATTTAATTATCTGAAACAGTTGAAATCGTAACAATTAAAAAAGAACTTGAAATTAATAATTACCAAAAGTTGAAGGTTATGTTGCATAAATCTATAAAGAAGTTTAATTTTTCCCATCTTTATTAAGAAACAATTTTAAATACTTATTGTATCAATTAATAATTTATGTTTCTAGGCCATGAGTACTTGTGGCGTCTGCTTTGGAAAAGTTATAAATAAATAACAGACATACCACTTCATTCATTTTTGCAAGGATACGAACAGTTTCATTATGATGAAGAAACTTCACATTTCTATCCTTTAACTGTAAATACAAAACCTTATTATTAATTAAGTAAATCAACAGCAATATATTTAATTTTTCTTATAAAAAATTATATTATATAGATGACAATGTTCTTATAAAAACATGTTCTTGTAAAATTTTTGATGGTAAGAAAGAAGTTGTTTTACAAAACTTAGATGACTTTGAAAAGGAAAAAAATAAGTATAAAGCATTAGGAGTTTAATTATCAAAATTTATTTTTTTTTTTTGTTAAAATTTGACACATACATTATTTATAAATAATTTCTTTTATTATAAGATTCCAGTATAAGTAAAAAGCTCAGTAATAAAAGTCGCCAAAAAGCTACTTTAGCTTTGACGATGAAGAAGTTTTAATTTTAGAGATAAGAGTTCGAGAACCTCTCTGGAACTTCCAGTTAAACAAGAAAGAAATACAAGAATTACAAATAAATTGTGGAACGAAGTATCACAAGCATTGGGAGGTACTTATTAATCTTAATCTAAGTTCTTTCAAAGACTCACAATAAAAAAATAATAAAATAATCATTGATTTCAAGTAAAATTAGTGCTGAAGGAGCCAAATAAAAATTTAAAAGCCTACACAACACATACAGAAAATAATTCAAGTTGAGAACTTAGCAAGCGGATCTGCAAGGAATAACTTAGATAGAAAATGGCGCCATTATGAATCTATGGACTTCTTAAGAGATTCATGTTTGATAAAACAGTGAGAGTGTTTTGATACACATATGTACACATTTACTATGGATATTTTAATTGTTCCTAAAAAATTAATATTTATTTATACCTTAGAACTGTTTCAAACATGTTCTGTTGAGGCAGAACATAAGGCTTCCAATATTAATGATGAAGATAAGACATCTTCCAGTAAGTTTTTAATAATTTTGTAGTAAAGAGTTATTGATTTATATACAATATATATATATATATAATTATATATATATATATATATATATATATAATTTCTCCTCTCTTAAATAATCTTTAGATGAATCCTCTCGGGAAAGAAAAAGATTACGTATCAAACAGTGTACTTGAGAAGATTGCTGATGCTTTGATAAATCAAGAACCAGTTTTGCCGTTGCTACTCCCGCCACAAGTAGACGAAGTCGATGCATTTCTAATAATGCTAGATCACAGGATTAAAATTACCAGAAGAAAAGCAAGTGGAAGCAAAGCTACCCCAATAGCCAAGTCTGCTAAAGCAGATCTTGTCAGGGAATCTGTTACAAATTGTTGTCGACAGAATCGATGCAGATTCTGATATATCATGTGATGTCGGCAGAATGTCAACAGAAATATAATAAAGTTTGTTAACATAATCAGTTACCAGATTGGCAGCAAAAATCGAACAGATTCTGCCGGCATAACTTAGTGGCAGATTGGTGGCACAAAATTGAACAGGATCTGTGCGATGCAATTTGACAACAGATTGTCGGCAAAAATCGAGCAGGATCTGCGCATACAATCTCAGATTGATGGCAGAAATGGAACAGGGTTTGCATAATTCGATAGTTCCTTCACTTACCGCTACGTGAGCTGTACTTTCTCGTAATTGAATTTCTGTCAGAAATATATATAAAGTCGCGAATATGAATAAAAGACTAAAAATATAGTAATTATCATTTTAATTTCTATCACTTTAATTTCTGATATCTGATACAACCAAATGAGAGTCAGAATATTAAACTGATTGGAATCAATATGATAAATGAAAAATTATTCATGTACTGCTTATTTGAGGTATAAAGCAAGAATTTATAATTCTAAATATAATAAATTACATCTCAAGTTTTACAAGTTACATTTACTTTTATCATTTACTTTATTATTAATTTAATTAAATTGAATTAGTCCTTCGCTATATGAGATATAACTACGATATAACATATTACATATATGTTATTTTCTAAGAAAATTCTAATTAACTTGCCGATAATATTGTTATTTAGCACTTGTAATAATCAATTTTGTTGCATTTATATAACATTAATAAAAGTAAGCGCAAATCTTATGCAGTTTCTGCTGTCAATTTGCCATCAGGTTGCATGCGCAGATTCTGCTCGGTTTCTGCTGACAATCTAACATCAAATTGCATGCGCAGATCATGCTCGATTTCTGCTGTCAATCTGCTGTCGGTTTATGCTGACAGATTCTGCTAGCAGAACCCAAGTTTAATCCGGACGCAGTTGATGCCAATCTGCCGCAATATTCTGTTTGAATTTGCTCGCATGCTGCTGGCAGACTGCTAACATTTTGCTTACTGGGTACTTACAACTATCTGTAGACTATTTAAAAAAAACATTAATAACATTAATATTTTAAAACATTTGTGAGCGTGCGATTATTATATTCGAGATATTATACGTTTCGCGCTAGCATGTTATTGCCGACTGTGTCTTGTCGTTTCGTCCTCGTGTTTTCTTATTTATATTGCCATGTGCTCGTAGGACAATAGGAGACCTTATCAAATTTGGGAGATAATAAACGCGACCGTTCGAAGGACAAGCCAGAGCACGGTCTACTTGTCGATTAGCGATTGGCTTAAGCCAGACGAGGAGGGATAAACCAAGCGATATAAACGTCGGCGATTTTGGCAGGCGCGCGCCCCGATCAGACAGAACTTGTAATAAACATATTTTAATCTCTTATTAATATCTCGCTTTCTAAATTAACCCGGCCATCCCATATATATATCTTTCCATCCTGTTATATTTACTATAGTTTCTCAGAAGTGGGATTCGGACGTTGCGCCCGGTTTCGCGAATTCGGCTCGGGATAGGCGATTCGAGATTTTGCTTGTGATACGTGTCGAGTGCGAGACGCACAGGTAGAAAACGATCAACGCGTGGTGATCTTTGGATCGCGCGAGTATTGTGGACATCGCGCTGCGCCGAACAAAGTTATCGAGCGGATCTGAGTGACGATGGCGGAGTCGGTGCAGCCGGGTGATTTCACCATCACCGAGATGAGGGAGGCTCTTCGCGAAAGAGGATTGACGGTAGGAGGATCAAAGGCCGAGCTCATCCAGCGGCTAAACACCAACGACCCAGGTGTGTGGGAAAGGCTGAGTGAGCGGCGGGGACGGGCGATCTGCTCGGGCGACGTCCCGGCCTCGGAAGTTGCGCGCTCGCCCAGTGAATCGGGCGACGCCATGGAAATGGAGACCGTGGACGGTACGCCGAGACGAGGGGATCGAGCGAGTATGACGACATCGGAACCGAGAGAACGTGGTGACGCGATGCAGGCGGAACTTTTGTTACTGCGTCGAGAGCGAGAGATTCTGGAGAGGGAACAGCAGCTACTTCGACGAGAAATAGAGATAATGAAAAGTGCAGCCTCGACACCGACGATAACGAGCGGCAGCGTCATTTCTGCGTTTGACGGCGTGAGGGGAATTAAGGAGCTGCTACCTGAATTTGACGCAGCGGATGGCACTTTCTGGAGGTGGAGGCAGCAGCTGGAGTTATTAAGACGCACGTATCAATTGGACGATAATTCGACGAGGGTGTTAATTGGCTCTCGGTTGAGGGGCCGTGCGTTGTCTTGGTTCTACTCGAGGGCCGAGCATGTGACGTTGGGCCTGGAGGACCTTCTGCGAGAGATGGAGTCAATGTTTGATCTGCGGCCAGGGAAATTGTCGCTGAGAAGAGAATTCGAGGCTCGTGTGTGGAAAGGAGACGAGCAGTTTTGTGATTATTATCACGAAAAGGTGATTCTCGCGAATCGCATACCGATCGCGGAGGACGAGCTCCTGGATTACATCATCGAAGGAGTGACCGATCCTCGTCTGCAGAGTCAGGCGCGCCTGATGAACTTTCGATCTGGAGGGGAGCTGTTGGGAGCTTTCGAGAAGGTGGCCCGAGTGAATCCTAGGAGACCGGACGTCCGCCCGGGAAAGGACGGGGCGAGGACGGCCGTCGGCGGAGGAGCGGAGGCATCGGCGCGGGGGAGCTCGACGAGGTGCTACAGGTGTCGTGGAGTGGGACACACCGCGGCTCGGTGCATGCGATCACAGACAAAGCGAGTGTGCTATGTGTGCGAATCTCCGGATCATTTGGCTAGGGAGTGTCCGAAGAGAAATCGGCCCGCGGTGTCGGGAATGCCGAACAGCGCTGCACGAGCTGCGTCGACGAACGTTGTGCAGCCTGTCGCGTTGGCAAAACCATACATGATTGCCGTAAAAATTATAGCTAGGAATAGGAGTGACGGTTTCGATAATTATGTGGTAGATGCAATGATAGATTCTGGCTCTCCGATTAGCTTGGTTAAGAGCGAAATAATTCGGGGCGACTCACGTCTGCTCGCCGGTGAGAGCATCGATCAATTTTGCGGAATTAACGGCTCGCGATTGAATATTGATGGTATCGCTCACGTCGACTTAGAAGTGAGAGGCGTGCGCTTAAAAATGAAATTTTATACGGTGCCTCATGATACAATGGCATATAGCGTCTTACTCGGTAGAGATTTTTTGGGTTGTCCGTTGCTGCGTGTGACGTTAGGGCGAAATCTCGAAATTGCGAATGCGGAAGAAGCGCACGTTATTTCTCAAATGATGCATATCGAGTGCGACGACTGTGTTGTACGTTCGCGCGAGGAACTAAAAATTAATCCGGCCGTTGGCAAGGACACCACTGAAAAGATCTGTGAGATCTATGAATCTTGTTATTTAAGTAATCTCGAGCGGAGAAATGCGCGCCGGATTTCGAGATGGTTATTGCACTGAAGCACGAACAACCAATAAGTATGCGCCCGCGGAGATTATCGTTCGCGGACAGGGAAGTCTTACGCAAGATATTGGACGATCTAATAGCGAAAAGGGTTATACGACCCAGTGATTCACTGTACGCTAGCCCCATTGTGCTAGTGAAAAAAAGAGACGGTAGCTCGCGGTTGTGCGTCGATTACCGCGAATTAAATAAGATCACCATACGCGATAACTTCCCGACGGAATTGATCGACGATAATATTGATCGCTTGAGAGATAAAAGATATTTCACGCTTTTGGATCTGAAGGATGGATTCCATCATGTAAGAATGCATGAGGCATCCGTTAGGTTTACTTCGTTCGTGACTCCGCTGGGCCAGTACGAATATTTGCGCATGCCATTCGACTTGATGAATGCGCCACGGGTATTTCAGCGTTATATTCATACCGTGTTCAATTCGTTAATTCGAGGGAATAAAATAATATTATATTTGGACGACTTGTTAATTGCGACGAGAGACACCGACGAACACGTTGAAATTTTGTCCGAAGTTTTTAAAATAGCAGGTAAACATCATTTGCAGTTTCGGCCCGATAAGTGTTATTTCGCGCAGACCGAGATTCGGTATCTGGGATATTGTGTAAGCATACACGGGATACGACCGAGCGACGAGAATATAGAGTCTGTTTTGAGTTATCCGGTACCGCGTAATGCTAAGGACGTACTTAGATTCGTCGGGCTCGCGAGCTATTTTCGTCGATTTATTCCGAGTTTTTCATCGATGGCAAAACCATTGTATGATTTAATTAGGAAAAACTCTGTTTTTAAATTTAATGCGGAAGAGAATGTTGCGTTCGAGGCGCTTAAGAAGTATTTATCCAATAAGCCAATATTAGTGATTTATTCACCACGAGCGGAGACAGAGTTACATTGTGATGCGAGCGCTAGCGGTTTCGGCGGAATCCTGCTCCAAAAACAGGACGATAACACGTGGCGCCCGGTTTCATTCTGGAGCCAGAGGACAACGCCAACGGAATCGAAGTATCACAGCTTCGAACTTGAATGCCTTGCGGTTGTATACGCGTTAAAGAGATTTTATGTGTACCTCGCCGGACGCAAATTTAAAATTGTGACCGACTGCGATAGTTTCCGTCTTACGTTGAGCAAAAAGGATGTTGTAAGGTTGCTAATTCGAGCGGATCGCAGAACGGATAGCCGTCGGTTCCAGGAGTAAGAAATGCTTTGAATGTATTTGTAAATGTATTTTATTTCAACGTGTGGTGTATACAAGTGTGTGTGTGTGTGTGTGTGTTTTGTGTATGTGTGTGTGTGTGTATAAATTGTGCGGTATGGATGCTTGTGTGTGCGGGCACGGACGCGTGGGTTTCGCGCGGCGTGAGGAAGATCGGGCGCGCGGTCGACAATCGATATATCGATTGTCCCGGATGTGTGATCCTCGTTTACGCACGTCGCTCGGAGTCTTTATTTCAGCGGAGTTGCGTGTAATTGCGCTGGTTCGGCGGTTATGATGGGATCCGCGGATTTAATTCTCGCACGGAGAATCACTGTTTCACGATGCACCGATTTAGAGGCGCGTTTCTTCGGTGCGCCGCGGCGAGGTTTTTGCCGCGCTTCTTTCGCCGGTTTTTGTGGCGGTTCCCGTATTCCGAGCGTTCGGCTTTAAGTCGGAACTTTGATTATTTAATTTCGCTTCCCTGGATGGATTCTGGGTTTTCGGAAGGCGTCGCGACGCTAGCGAGCGTCGGAGGCGGCTCAAGTTCCACCTCGTGACGTGATACGACGTCCTAATTCGGATATTTTGGAAAAGAGCGATTATTGAGCGCCGATATCGATCGGCTGAGGCAGCGTTCACACTACCTTCGGCTCGTATTGTCGCTTGGAGTTTTCTCTTTGCTTGGCTTGCCTTCGGACTAGCTTTCGCTCGAGAGGATCGGAAGGATCTATCCCTAAGTGTCACCGGGAGCCCTTTTTATATCGCTAATTATGGCCCGCGCCGGCGTATTTGTTATTCCCTCCCACCGGCCGGCGGAAAAAATAACGGTATAATTGCGCGGGGGTTCTCATTCGTCGGCTCCCGGTGACGGTGCTCGGGATGCCGTGTGCGGTTCTCAATCGGCGGATCCCGGCCGACGGTGTTTCGTCGGACTTCCTACCCGGCTTTTTGTTAGGTTTTAAAAAGTGGGCACACAGCCCTCTGCCTCTGCCCGACCGGTGGTCGTCGGGCGGCAGCTTCCGGCTGATGTGTTGCCGGGAAACGATGCATTCCGGGGTGCATCGTTACAATGTGAATCCTCGAATTTCGCGTTGGGCTCTTTTCTTGCAGAACTACGAATTATGAAATCGTTCACCGCCCCGGCAAACGAATGGCTCACGTCGATGCTCTTAGCCGCTGCCATAGCGTACTCGTGTTAGAGGGAAGTACATTCGAGCGAACTTTGTCAATCTGTCAAGACCGCGACGAAGAAATTATTAAGATCCGCGACAAACTAGAAAAAGGCGACATAAAACATTACGAATTACGCGACGTACTAGTGTATAGAAAGGATAAGAATAAAAAATTACTGTTTTATGTGCCACGCTCAATGGAGGCCAATGTAATCCGAACCGGCCACGATGACCTAGGTCACGTAGGCATCGATAAAGTGATTAACAATATCGCGAAAGTTTACTGGTTCCTACGAATGCGCGATAAAGTGCGAGAACATATAAGTAATTGCCTAAAGTGCATCGAATTTTCACCACCGAGCGGTAAGGCGGAAGGATACTTATATAATATACTGAAGGGGAATTTACCGTTTGCGACAATTCACGTGGACCATCTGGGTCCACTGGAAAAAACTGGTAAAGGTTACCGTCACCTGTTTATTGTCATTGACGCGTTCACTAAATTTGTCCGGCTCTACCCGTGTAGATCGACAGCGTCGGAGGAATCGATAAAGCATCTCTGCGAATATTTCCGCGCGTATAGTAAACCGAAACGTTTAATTTCGGACAGAGGGACCTGTTTTACATCTGACGTATTTAAGAGATATTTGGAATCCGGTGCTGTGGAGCACGTGCTGACCGCTGTAAGCACACCGAGGGCAAACGGGCAGGTGGAAAGGTTTAACAAAGTAATAACTCCAATGGTGGCGAAGTTAAGCGAGACACCGTGTCGATGGGATCGCGTGTTGGAACGAGTGGAGTATTCGTTGAATAACACTGTTTGTCGCGCGACCGGCGATACTCCTGCTCGATTATTGTTCGGCATTGAGCAGCGAGATGATTCGAGCGATCTATTGCGCGATCTAATTAATATAGGCAACCATCCAGAGCGCGACCTTGAGTTAATGCGAGATAAAGCTCAGGCAAATATTGGCGAAGCACAAAGCAAAAGCGAGACACGATACAATTTGCGGCGAAGACCCACGCGCGGATATAACGTCGGTGACTACGTGGAGATACGTAACATCGAAACAACACCCGGAATAAATAAAAAATTAATACCTAAGTTCAAGGGCCCTTACGTAATAAAAAAGGTGTTGGACCACGACCGTTATGTCATCACAGATATTGAGGGCTTCCAGCTGACTCAGCGACCATATACTGGTATATTCGCACCCGATCAAATGCGTCCGTATATACATTGTATAATGACTCAGAATCAATCAGATTGTTCGTTAGGCAGTACGATCCTTCCCTAAGGGTGGAATCAAGACTTGTGAATTTTATTTTATTATTATTTTTTATTGTTTGACCGAGACGGCCAAAATGTCAGAATGGCCGAACTGTGAGCGTGCGATTATTATATTCGAGATATTATACGTTTTGCGCTAGCATGTTATTGCCGAACGTGTCTTGTCGTTTCGTCCTCGTGTTTTCTTATTTATATTTATATTGCCATGTGCTCGTAGGACAATAGGAGACCTTATCAAATTTGGGAGATAATAAACGCGACTGTTCGAAGGACAAGCCAGAGCACGGTCTACTTGTCGATTAGCGATTGGCTTAAGCCAGACGAGGAGGAATAAATCAAGCGATATAAACGTCGGCGATTTTGGCAGGCGCGCGCCCCGATCAGACAGAACTCGTAATAAACATATTTTAATCTCTTATTAATATCTCGCTTTCTAAATTAACCCGGCCATCCCATATATATATCTTTCCATCCTGTTATATTTACTACACATTAATTAATAACATTTAAAACATTAATTAATAACATATTTTAAAACATTAATTAATAACATTAATATTTTAAAACATTAATATTTTTAACTTTAATAATTGACTACGACATTTTTTGACAAAAATATTTGTTTTTAATAATGCTTTATATTATATACATGCCCTAGAGCGCATGATATTATTTAATATTCTCTCTTCTTCCCTCCCTCCCTCCCTCCCCCCTCTCTCTCTCTCTCTCTCATAATTAATTAAGATTGTCTAAAAAAACTTTGAAGTGCATTTTTGTTTTATATTTCTTTTTATTACAATTATTACATTTAATTTTATTTGTTATTACAATTATGATTACATTTAATTTTAGAATGTATTAGACATGCACAAAATAAAAGAAAATTTAAAACTGTTAAAAATAAACAAGATTTTATTTAATTTATTGTTTTTGAATTTTATTTATTGTTTTTATTTATTGATGTATTCAGCAGTGGTCAAATTGCCATGGCACGGCGCCTTCACTATTAAAATAATGACAAAATTCATCCCGTATAGAAGAAGCTACACGTGAATTATTATTTGTATTACATCTAGTAATATCTACTAGTGCACTATTGATTGGCCTATCTTTCCTCCAACTACCAGGAATAAATCCTTCAGGTCCATCAGAATCTGACATTGTTTCAAGTACATATTCACAATCCTCGCCATTTATTCAAAGCCAGTTATGTAAACACACAAGAGCTTGAATGAGTTTCATAGTTTTATCCACATTGCAATCAATAGGTCGTCTCAAAATCCTCCATTGACTGCTTAGTATACCAAACATATTTTCAATTGTATGCCTTGCTCTG